TAGAGGACAATGCGGCAGTGCAGTACTCCTCTTTCGCATCTAGCTGTGGCGTATATCTCTTCTGTGCTGCTGGGCAGTCTCCTATACGGGAGGTGTCAGGCAGTACAACGGTCAGAACACCCCAGTTTGCCGAACTTCTTCCGCTTCTGGAATGGCGAACTCTGTTGCTGGCTGCATGAACAATGCTACCTACCCTGATGTCTGGGCGCCTACTTTGATGCTTGCTAGTCCTAGTGGCTATCTGGCGGATAATGGCGTCGAATATGTGGACAGCTTCTTCACTGGTACCAAGGTCAAGCTCTACTTCAACGAGCCTGTTATGATTGGTACTGGTAAGGTTTGCTTCCTTGCTTACTCAAGCGCTGGTGTCTTCGACCCCATCGCCTCAAGCTGCGTTACTCCCGCGGTTTCCGCTACTATCTCCTCAGCGATTGAGGCCACGGCCCCCGCTGTCAAGAACAGGAGATATTACATCACCGTTGATGGCAACGCTGTCCAAGATTTGGCTGGGAACTACTTCCCTGGGATCAATGGACGACGTTTCACTGGCTTCGCTAGCGAACAAGGCAGCTTCCCCGATCAATGCCGTGTGAAGCGTACCGATGATGCTTCCTACAGCTGGCCGGCTGGTGGTCTACAGAACGCTGCTCAGTTCTGTCAGATCAGCTTTGTCCGTCCTCTTGGTGCCCCCATCTCCTACTACCCTGCTCATGTTAGCAGTGCTCCTAAAACCGATGCTGCCGCTGCCGCCGTTTCGCTCAGCAGCACTCCGGCTGATACTGAGCTTTGTTACACCTTTGCTGAGTCCATCTTCTGGGATACCTGTGGCTCATCTACGTGCTTCACAAACGAGTGGAGTTTCAACGCTGTTCCTTCTGCAGTCAATCTTCAACTCAAAATCGTCTCCAACTTCTCCAGTGCGTATGGTACCGTTGAGGCTTTGAAGACTACTTGTACGAGTGCGGAGCTCGGCACCAATGGTCGGGCTGGATGTGCTTACTCTTATCTCGGAACGGGCAAGGAGCAAGCTCCCGGTGTGGCCGTGTCTGGTGGGATCGACGTCGCCGCAGTCTCCGGCCCCTGTTGGTTAGCTCCTAGTGCGAAGCAAATCTGCTGCAAGCCTGCCGCTACCTTGCGTTCCTCCGCCCCAAGCATGCTCAATCAGCCTAACTTCGTCATGGCCACCTTGAAGAGAGAGCCATTGGTTTCGCTGGAGAGTTCACTCATTCATTCTGGGTTAATGCCACCGACGCCGGTACCGAAAAGCGAGACCACTCTGGGTTGCTTGGG